GTTTAGGGGTGTAGTATGTGTTTGCTTACAAGGAATCTAGTGTGTGTGTATAGGGGATCCAGAGTGTGTATATTAAAGGACCACTATAGTGCCAGGAAAACATACTCGTTTTTCTGGAACTATAGTGCCCTGAGGGTGCCCCCACCCTCAGGGACCCCCTCCCGCCCGGCTCTGGAAAGGGGTTAAAACTTACCTTTTTCCAGCGCCGGGCGGGAGCTCTCCTCCTCCGATCCGCCCCGTCGGCTGAATGCGCACGCGCGGCAAGAGCTGCGCGCGCATTCAGGCGGTCGCATAGGAAAGCATTTATAATGCTTTCCTATGGACGCTTGCGTGCTCTCACTGTGATTTTCACAGTGAAAAGCACGTAAGCGCCTCTAGCGGCTGTCAATGAGACAGCCGCTAGAGGCTTTGGAGGAAGGCTTAACCCATTGATAAACATAGCAGTTTCTCTGAAACTGCTATGTTTATAAAACAATGGGTTAACCCTAGAAGGACCTGGCACCCAGACCACTTCATTAAGCTGAAGTGGTCTGGGTGCCTAGAGTGGTCGTTTAAGAGTGCAGTGTGTGTGTGTGTATATATATATATATATATATATATATATATATATATATATATATATATATATTTGGAAGTATTGTGTGTGGTGCAGTGTGTTGGGGGGGGGTTCTGTGTGTATGTGAGGGGTGCAGTATGTGTGTGTGTGAGGGATGCGGTGTGTGTGTGAGAGTGCCGTGTGTGTGATGTGTGTGAGAGTGCCGTGTGTGATTGATGGGTGTGAGAGTGCTGTGTGTGAGTGATGAGTGTGAGAGTGCTGTGTGTGATGGGTGTGAGAGTGCTGTGTGAGAGTTCTGTGTGTGAGAGAGTGCTGTGTGTGTGAAAGTGCTGTGTGTGATGAGTGTGAGAGTGCTGTGTGTGAGAGAGTGCTGTGAGAGAGTGCTGTGTGTGTGAAAGTGCTGTGTGAGAGAGTGCTGTGTGAGTGTGAGAGTGCTGTGAGAGAGTGCTGTGAGTGTGAGAGTGATGGGTGTGAGAGTGCTGTGTGAAAGAGTGCTGTGTGTGATGGGTGTGAGAGAGAGTGCTGTGTGTGATGGGTGTGAGAGTGCTGTATAAATGTTATTGTGTGTAGGGGATCCAGAGTGTGTATGTGGGGGGTAAATAAACAAAAAACAGGCATTATTCCCCCCCCCCCTTCTTACCTTTAGCCTGGGAGGGGGGGGGACTGGCACGCTGGTGACTGGGAGGTGGGGAGGCAGTGTTCCCTGGTGGTCCTCGTGGGTGAGTGAACTCTAGCCTGTGAGGCTAGAGTTCACTCTCGCGAGATCCGGTCGTTGCCATGGCAACGAGCCGGATCTCGCGAGAGGAACCTGGCGGAGCTGCAAGTTTGAGGCCTAGTATAGGGGAGTCAGCTCACCTCACAATTCTTGTAAAAGATGAGTTAACAATGTCTTTGAAATCCCCCCGATTCCCTAATTATGCTGAATTTACATTTCCTCTGACCTTTTTGTATAACATAAGTAGAACCGCATGTTTAATTTCACACACTCAAAACTAATTTTTTTTAAATTTCACAATACCTCAGTATATTTTAAACTTTTTAGTTTTCAAATCTGACAGATTCTCACAGCTTTATTAAGCTTGAAATAAAATAAATACCTATTATTTTACACTTGAACAGCAAATAATCAAGGAGACATTAGCCAAGAGTTAGAATGCAGTCCCATTAAACACCTTTATACTCCTGGGTTCCTGGATCAGATCGGCTCCTAAGGGGATACATCTCTTATTGCCCCAAACATACTTAAACAGCCTGACCTCCACTGTAAAAACTTCCCCAAAACTCCACAGATGGGCCAATGAGGCATGGACAACAGATTGGAAGGGAAAGCCATCACTAGTTGTTTTAATGGAGATTAAAGACATCCACAGTTGGAAGTTCTTGCTGAAAGGGGTCAGGAAATAAAATGCAGTGTTAGGGGTAGCAAAATCCTTTAGCAGTTTTGGTGAAGCAGTTTTGGTGTATAGAACATGCCCCTGCAGCCTCACTGCTCAATCCTCTGCCATTTAGGAGTTAAATCCCTTTGTTTATGAACCCTAGTCACACCTCCCTGCATGTGACTTGCACAGCCTTCCATAAACACTTCCTGTATTTAAGAGAGCCTGCTATGTTAATAGCTTGCTAGACCCTGCAAGAGCCTCCTGTATGTGATTACAGTTCAATTTAGAGATTGAGATACAATTATTTAAGGTAAATTACATCTGTTTGAAAGTGAAACCAGTTTTTTTTCATGCAGGCTCTGTCAATCATAGCCAGGGGAGGTGTGGCTGGGGCTGCATAAACAGAAACAAAGTGATTTAACTCCTAAATGACAGTGAATTGAGCAGTGAAATTGCAGGGAATGATCTATACACTAAAACTGCTTTATTTAGCTAATGTCATTTAGGTGACTATAGTGTTCCTTCAACTATTCTTCACCTATCTTAATAATATCCATTATGTTTAACCCGTGTAACCTGTTGTCAGTAACTTTATTGTTCATACATATGTGAGTTTTATGCACTGATTTGTATCCTTCCCATAAATTCCAGTTCTCTCAATGTTCCTTTTACCTGACCTGGTGCTAATCGAGAAGTTGTTGGCCACCTGGGTCAGAATAAGCTGACCGACTGTCCTGCTGCCTTGTGATCCTGCTTGCATTTCCCCTAATGGACGGTACATCGGGCTGTTTTAAGAAGGAGATTCCACCGGTTACAATTCTGATTTCATGTCCTCTCATTCTCCTCAGATAGGTCTGGTCTGCGCGAGACCCGTGCGAGAAAGAGTGGACGATACAATAAAAGAGGACAACAGCAGACAATGCCAATACAATAATGAAAAATTGAACTATACACTCAGAATTCACATACATTCATGTACATACGCATACAGTCAATGATTCAGTTCCATTAGCAGGCTGTTCCCAAAACATCAAGGTAATAGGTTGAAATGTTGGCTGCAATGCATTTGTACATATCATCTTATCATAAAACTGGTTTATTTTAAAGTGATTTTTCACGCTGGCTTTGGCTATAATGGAAGCTCATGGCCTCCTGTACGGGCTATATAAAAGGAGGTGTTTTTTTTGCTGAGCTGGTATTGAAGAGTCTAACTTTCCAACACACTATTCCACAATCAGCAGCCTCTCGTACTGACATATGAGCGCCAGATTTATAAAGTGTACATTAAGCTTTGTTTTTGACAATGCCAACTGCAAGTTTTTGCCAAAATCAAGGTTCATCCAACTCTTCAATATTCAACCATCCAGTTTGGGTGATTATGTGTCTTGTCGTTAGTATTGATATGCGAAGAGGCTTTCTGCGATTGTCACTTATTACCCTCTAAGTCGGACATCTTGCACATTCACAGATTTCTTTTTGCACACCTCTGTTACAAAGAACACTCTGGACACCAAAACCACTTTATCACAATATCAAAGTTGCTGTGGTGCCTGGAATCCTAGGGCACTGTCTTCCATTTACGTATTAAACATTTCCTGAATGGTTTGGAACTAAGCATGAGTCTCAGGAGCTTGACTCTCCATCTCGTCTTCAGATTGGGCTGGTGGAGAAGTGTTAGTGCGAGAAGTGAGGAGATAGCAGTGACTGGCTGAAAACGTCACATTAACCGGAGAAGAAGATGAGAGGGAGAGAATGGCATCTGAAGACACTTATTTAGTGTTAAACCATTTAAGAACGATTTAACAATAAAAGGTAAGAAGGTGTCTGGGGATTACAAGCACCATAACAACCTCTTTGAGATGGGATCCATATGGTTCCTTTACACATTGGTTGTTTGCCAACAGCTTGAGCAAGTCTGGCCTTTCTGCTCTGACCTTTCTCATCAGGCGTTTTACTAAACCGAATTGCTGTTTTTAAGGTTTTGTTATGATACTATTCTCTGTAAAGTATTGAGACTATAAATCTGGTGAGTTCACTATGTCCCAACAGTCAGACCACAGTCATAGTGAGTTAGAACAGCTTCACTCTACACATTCTACTGTTTGGTTTTAAAATAAGGAATCTTCCTCACCATGTCTGAATGCATTATATATTGAGTGACAGAGATAGACAGACAGACAAGTAGACAGACAGAGAGATAGATAGAGACAAATAGATAGATAGACACAAATTGATATATATATCAGATAGATAGACAGACAGACAGTCATGTAGACAGACATATAGATAGACATTAGATAGACAGACAGGCAGACACAAATAGATAGGCAAATAAATAAAGATAGATAAATGATAGACAGACAGACAGACAGATCGATAGATAGACAGACAGACAGACAGACAGACAGACAGACAGAAATAGATAGACAGACAACTACATATAGATAGATAAATGATAGTTAGATAGAAAGATAGATAGACAGATAGACAGAAAGATAGATAGACAGACAGACAGACAGATCGATAGACAGACAGACAGATCGATAGACAGACAGACAGACAGAAATAGATAGACAGACAAATACATATAGCTAGATAAATGATAGTTAGATAGACAGACAGACAGATAGACAGACTGACAGATTTAGATAAACAGACAGACAGATAAGCCCTAATCAATTTCAGGGTTCTGCCCCTTATTCCAGAATCATTCCCTGGCGTTCTGCATCTGGGACACTAGGGGACTGTCTGGGTGGGCTCGCCCATGTTGGAGTCACCAGAGATAGACATACAGACAGACAGATAGACAGACAGACAGACAGATATATAGTTAGATCTGACAGAAATGTCTTTTTTTAAAAGAACATAAAGAGCATAGTGAATGAATGCATTTTTTTTACACAATTGTTTTAGATTCCTACAATGTAAAGAACTCAGGGAATTATTTATATATATTTGCTTTAATTCAAAAAGGGATGAAGTCTCCATTGTAATGTAAGTGGAATGTGCAATATATATATTATACAAGCCTTGCACATCTCATTTTCAGCCAGCACTCTCCACCTGAACAATGGATGCTGAGACAATCCTAGCTGCTCCCATGCAGGCTACACCCTGCTCTACTCACTGGATATGCTAAATATGAGGACCAGGCTGGGGGGGGGCAAATGACATAAATACGTAAAGAAACTAAAGAATTGAGGTAAAAATGCCCCTTGTGCTGATTTCATAGAGCCAGCCTGGTTGGGTAATTGGGTACAGATTGTAGGTGTTTAAATATTCATGACTGTGACAGGGGATGGGAGGAGGAGGCGGTGGCTGGAGGAAGGGGAGAGTCAGAATAATCACAGAGAGGTAGAGAACAAGTCTGTGAAAGATCCTGGGAGAGAGAGAGAGAGAGAGAGAGAGAGGGAGAGAGAGACAGACTGGGTGTGCATGTGTGCTTGTGGGCAGATGCTATAGACCTTCCTGCTTTCGCTAACCCCTGTACATGTGTGTGACGGTGTGTGCATGAGAGAGCGAGAGGGAGAGAGGACAGAAAGACGAAGAGAGGGGGGAAACACAGAGAGTGAGAGAAGGAAGAAAAGAAGGAGAAAAAAGGAGGAGAGCGAAAAGACAAAACCCAACCATGCTGTGCTGTATGAGAAGAACTAAGCAGGTAATGTTCCCATTTTCATGGCAGGGTCTGTGGCTGGAGCTATGGTGGAAGCTGACAGATGCTTCCATGACATGAGATGTGTAAAGGGCCAATTCCCTTTGTGTTATATGCATTGTGTAAGTGGGGATAATGGACTTATTGGGGAAGGATGTGTTAAAGTCATGACATGTGTCTCATTTTATAGAGGAAGAGCCATTGTGATTCTATTGGCACAATATAAAGGGATTCATCTAACTGCATGGAAGGGGTTAAATGGCTCTCTATGTGGGATTTTTATTTTCTGTGCGAAATATCATTTTAATGTAGAAAAAAAGAAAATTAATCTATTCCACCCCTGTGTGTCCCTTGTCGAGAAAGGGATCCTGCGGATTAAACTCGTGTTAATATGAAGAACAATTGGCTTTTCACATTAATGCAATTAAACCGGAGAGAATTAAAATCAGAATAAAAGCCTTTTCATTTTTTTTTTTTTCGCTCACTGTATCCGAAAAGCACCGGCATTCGCACAGCTGGGCAGCAGCTGGTAGGGAGACAGGACCACGCCCCTAGAAACCCAGAGCATTCGAACAGAATCCTACTGATACATTGTATCAATTATCCTCCGAATGGGCTGCATTGGCAAACCTTTAACCGACCGAACTGATCATTTAACACTTTAAGGGACATTGGGAGAAAGTGGCCAGTTACTGAGCCAAATTCTTTAACCCTTTAAGACACAGGATAGAGCAACATGTTGCAGAGAAATGATGAACCCATTGGGAGCAACGAAAGATGTAAAGCCCTGGACTGGTGTACACTAACAGTTCATATTAGCCCTTCCTGCCCATTGCTATAGATTCTGAGAAAACTGACTTATTTTATTGCTAATCGTAATTTATTCTATTTTTAGATAAAACATCAATGGTTCTGGCAGATGGCTTGGTTTAAGTGTAGAAGCTATTAGCTATAATTTGGGGAACTGATAACCTGATTTTTTTTTCTCTCTCTTTTTTTCTTGCTTATGAAGTAGGTACATGCATTTTTATCAGCTGAAATAAAACGTCCTTTTTTAACACATGCTCACATTTATTCAGATTTTTTTTTTTAAACTTGGTGCAATGTATTAAAAAAAACCCTGTAGATTTACCTGTAAATTCTGAAATGGGGGTCTCCGTGTTAAAATGAGGCTCTAGGACATTCTAGATATATCTTGTGCATTGAAAATGACTATGGTATCTTTAAATCCACCTGAAGAATGCGTATTGTTTGATCACATACATATCATACAGGATATTGATCCATTGATCTTATGGAAGGCAAGAAACAAGAGTGGTTTTGTCTACAAGGCTTTACTTCACATTGACTTTAATTACACCCATGGGGACGGATTTGGGCTGCATTGGAAAATGCTGGCGATAACTTGTTCACACCCTATGAGAGTGGTGGCAATCCTTGGCAGCCCAGATATTTGTCAATTAAATACATTTGTACAAAAATCTTGCTAAAACATCTGGGTACCAAATGTAGCATCACTGCTCTATATAGGATTTAAAAAGAAGGATACAATGTATCTGAATGGTTTCACTGAGCTGAATGCAGTTATGGATGGAGAGCAGTAATCCCACCCATTTGATGGTACCCTAAAGAAATGAGTCTTCTGGTGATTGAGAGGTTAAAGGTGTGGCTGAGACGTGCATCACTTGTAGAATGGAAGATGTAGAAAGTAGGGTGGGGTTAGACACTGTGCGAATAATGGAGGTCTGTGCATGTTATACAGAATATCATATATTTGGCCATTTTCCATGTCTACCTGTGGCTGAATACAGCGGTTGCCATTCAGATTTATAATGCATTGTCTGACAAATTGTTTCAGCTCCACAATATTTGTGTGTATGTTATATAGAATGTTGGAGAAATGGAGACAGGGTAGAAGCCGAGCAAGTATCGGTATTATAATGTAATAAATTAATTGGATAGGGGATAAATGAACCCTATTGCTGCCAATGCCAACATGCGGTTTCATTAACTTTGCTTAGCTTGGCTATAGGTTTGGTTAGGTTTGGTTGACCCTAGAAGAGCTAGAGGGGTGTGAAATGCATTTTTCGCCTTGGTTTAAGGATCATGTAGATATGAGGTAGAAATGAGCAGAATTTGGTATTTTCCAAGACACATGGTCTAGCCAGCCAAATCCCAGCACAAGGCAGACGGATACTGTTGCTAGGGTTTAGACTGATGCTGCTGAGTATGCGCTGTGAGCTAGACTCATTGAGTGCTACTCAAAGCCTCAATAGAAAATTGCTTCCTCCCCCCATCTCTTACCACCAGCAACCCCCTGCCAGCAAGGCACTCCCTTCCCTTTCTAATCCAGGATCATTACACCTCTATTAACTCTAAGAGCTCGAGAGGAATACATTAGCCTGTAGTGATATCATGATTATTGCTTTTCACATATATATAGTGATTCATCATTTTTATAGGATTTTATTGGTATTATTATTTTTATGAGTTGTTGGCTATTTAGATACCAAATTAAATCAATATTAAAAAATTATAGCATGGGTTAACCCTTAGAGCTGCAGAGAGTGATCAGCCAATTGCACAGTGACACATTCAGGCTATTAGCATACCTCTTACAAAACTGTTAAAGGGACAGAACAAAGCTGTATTCAATCACGCAAAGCACCTCTCATTTTTTAAAATAATCACATGTTCTGAGAGCCTGCGAGCGTACAGCTACGAGGCACTATACTCAGCATTACCTAGAGACAGAAAGGGACCGATGCCACACCCTTTATTAAAGACTAGTGGCAGATACTGTTTCAGCCATAAGAATTGCTGTGAATACAGCAAAATTCTAATGAAGTGGAAAATGACAAGTGGTATTATAAATCTAGACTGAGTATTTTTATATCATCTTATCTGCCATAACGTGAGATTTATATACAGCACTGAAAGAAAGATCACTCCCTGCTAGTATTAAGATGAATGCTTTTAGTTCCAAACTACCATTCGCTTTATTTGAGTGCTATAAAGGAGTTCAGCGGACTCCAAAGAGTTAAATAATTGTCAGTAGAATTTGCAGTAGAAGTCACAGTCTGCATGGTGTGAAATTGTTGGGTTCAACTATTTTTTTTATAAATAAGATGAAAAATTGATGTGCGGTACATAGAGGATAGACGAATGGTGCACAGCGACTCACGTTCAGGTTAGAGAAGTGTAAAAACATAGGATAGATTAACTAAGTGCCCACTGGTGGCAGATTTACATGTATGACTGATCGCAGAGCAGCACATCTGTACCGGAAGACAACGTTTCATGAATGGAATTAGCGGCGGAGGTGAATGGAATACTCATTGGAAAAAAAAAAAAAAGCCTTTGCCTGCCTAGACAACGAATACTCAAAGACAAGGGGGCTGATAGAAATCGGTGGAGCAGGGAATGTTTTAAACTACAAATACAAAATGTTCTTCTGCTCATCTGGGAAACAGGGATAACTTCAGCAATAGCTCCATCTTTGCAGAGCACCTGTATCTTCAATCATTTTTTTTTTTTTTTTTTTTAAATACTGCATACCGTCTTTGAAAGGAGAATCAATATCTTCAAAAAGATGATTTACTAGCATATTAGGAATCAAACATTCAGAGCGCTTGGAAATGATTTTGCACTTTAAAAATTATTATTATTATCAATATTATTATTATTATTATTATTATTATTATTATTATTTTAATCCATCAATTCTTCTGTCTAGCCCAAAAGAAGCTGGATAAAATTATAATTTTGCCAGTGGATGCCAGAAGTTTCTTGCTTGAATGATAGTTTGATAAATATTTATATATTGCTACACATGGCGGTTCTGCCAGCGAGGCTAGGATGGCACTTTGGATTTATGTGTTCAGGAGCGATTTCTCTCAATTTGATACAAGGATACACAATGTGAGCTAAAAATCAGGAAACGTCATCTAATTATGGACTTTTAATGAGGAGAGCACTTACATATATTAGCAAGATTGTAGAGAACCTCATTAGTGAGTTTAAGTGGGGACTGCATCGATCACCACCTACCATATCCATGTTCACTAGATATTCATTTAATGGCCACTTCAAAAACCATTATCTCCAAGTTATTCCAAGACCACAAAATGCATTTACCTATAAGGTTGTTCTGAAGTTAAATAAAAAAATAAAACACATTTCCATGATAACTGGACTTTGTACAGATATTGGTTTCTGCCAATGGTATATTGGCGCCAAAGTTGACTTTGCACACTTGCCAACTTTTAAAAAGTGAAGGACGAGCCAAGTTTGCTGGAGGAGAGATACGTTTTAATATGTGTGCAGTGAAGTGTTACAGAGACATGGAAAGGTCTGGCAAAGATCTGGTTCTATTAAATGTCGAATGATTGCCATGCTGAAAAGGAGCTTCAATAAGGAAGTACAGACTAAGACTTTAAAGGAATAGAAGAATATTGGGGTGTTTATAAAGGCTAACACAGTAAAGGAATGGAAGATTTTTGGGGAGTTTAGGAGACTCATAAAGTAATGGAATGGATGAATGTTCAGGAGGAACATAATAAAGGGATTGAAGAATGCTCAGGATGTGTATAAGGCTAACACAGTAAAGGAATTGAAGAATGCTCAGGATGTGTATAAGGCTAACACATTATAGGAATTGAAGAATGCTCATGATGTGTATAAGGCTAACACAGTAAAGGAATTGAAGAATGCTCAGGATGTGTATAAGGCTAACACAGTAAAGGAATTGAAGAATGCTCAGGATGTGTATAAGGCTAACACAATAAAGGGATTGAAGAATGCTCAGGATGTGTATAAGGCTATCACGGTAAAGGAATTGAAGAATGCTCAGGATGTGTATAAGGCTAACACAATAAAGGGATTGAAGAATGCTCGGGATTTGTATAAGGCTAACACAATAAAGGGATTGAAGAATGCTCGGGATGTATATAAGGCTAACAGAAAAATTTAATCAAAGAATTCTTGGAATGTGTATAAGGCTAATGCAGTAAAAGAATTGAAGAATGCTCGGGGTGTGTAAAACACGGTAAAAGAATTGAAGAATGCTTGGGATGTGTATAAGTCTAACACAGTAAAGGAATTGAAGAATGCTTGGGATGTGTATAAGTCTAACACAGTAAAGGA